CTTCATTTAATTTTCTAAATTCCTTTCTAAAATTTTTGTGTTCCAATAGATTATACCTAAGTCTTAAATCAATCATAATATCAAAATTTAATCAATTTATTTTTTCAAAAATTCGTCCAAAAATAAATTAAAAAATAAAAAAAAATACACTCAAGTCTCAAATCACCATTTTATAGCCTTAGGAGACATTTATTCATATTCAAATCAATATCTAATGATAAAAAATTCATTCCAACATCTCAAATCCATTATAAACTCAACTATATAAGTCTGGAGTTTATCTAAAAAATTCTTAAATTTGAGTTCTAATCTCAAGGAATGTTCTATAGCATTTATTATATCCTTAACAACTTTAACATTTATTTTTAAATCATCATAACTTCATATTGACTATCCTATAGGAAAACTTTAATCATAAAATTTTCTCTATTCATCAAAATAACACTATTGTTAAACATTCCTAAATAAGTAAAAACTATTAATGATGAAATTTTGAAAAAAAAAAGGAGTCATTATGAATATCTAAAGGGTAAAGGTGCAAATTTGGCCATGTATTATTTTTTGAGGAACATCTGGAAGTTTAAACTATTAGATGATGTAAAATAAATTATGAACTTTTAAAAATGAAACATCTAGTAGCCCGTCATTAATTTCAGTTGATGGACATTATGTGTGATCCATAATGACACGTGGCACTCCACGGGCATTCTACTTCAACATGTGTAAAAGTATAAATTTAGATGAATCATCTAACACCTTCTCCTCAATTTTGACCAAACATCATTTTATTTTTAGACTTATGAGACTCACAACGTATCAATCTCTTTAATCTTCTTATCTTCATTCTCACTCTTAGCTCGAGAAGAAGAGGTTCAAAGAGTTCTTATATGAAGACATTTACAAAAACAACGCCAATAAAGTAGAAGAAAAAATTCGTGCCTAAATTAAGCTAGAATCAAGCTTCTCTCATGCATAGCAAAATCAAGCTTTTACTTCTTTAGCATCATCTTTATAAATGTCTTCAGATAAGAATTATGTGAATCTCTTCTTCTTGAGTGGATATTGAGAAAGAAGGAAAGAAGATTAGAGAGATTGATGTTTTATGAGCTTCATAAGTATGAAAATAAACGATGTTTAATAAAAATTGAAAAGAAGGTGTTAGATGGTTCGTTTTTTATAATAAAGGCCACATAGTGCTTCTTAAAAAATAGTTTATAATTAAATTTGTACCTTTACACATGTTGACATGGATTGCTTGTGGAGTGTCACTTGTCATTATGGACCTCATATAACGTTCATCAGGTTAAGATAACGGTAGGCTCCTGGATATTTCATTTTTTAAAGTTTATAATTTATTTCACACTACTTAATAATTTAAGCCATCAGGTGTTCTTAAAAAAATAGTTCATGATCAAATTTATCATTTACCCAATATCTAAATCAAAATTATTTGAGGAGGAGGAAGAATGAGATGGGGAGGAAGAAGATTGCCGCACAGAATGAGGAGGGAATGAAGTGTATTCATAATAAGAAGTGGGACCCATAATCATTTATTTTCTTATTATTATTATTATTATTATTATTGTTAATGTTGGGGGACAACCTTTCGGCTTGTCACCCACATTTGTTTCTTTTTATTTTGTTTTATTTTATATATATATATATACATTATAAAATATAAAAAAAGCCTAATAATGTTTCTAACTCTAAACCTTAATTTAATTTATAATTAAATGTCTAAAATGCGATTATCCTGAATTAACCTGAAATAAAAATTTATTTTTTATTTTAAACATTAAAACAATATGGATTCCTAATTTTTGAATCATCAATAAAACCTAAATTTTATATATTTATTATCTTAAAGATTAGGATATTACATTTTTTTTAACTTTTGAAGATGACAAATCCAGCCCCTACCATTGATAAAAGTTAATTTTAATTATTAATTAACTAAAAAATGATAAAAAATATATCAAAAATTATGGAAATAAGAATAAAAAATTACAGTAAAAGATCTAAAAATCATAGATAAGGACCAAAAAATTATAAAAAATGATCAAAAAAATTTTATTGGTCATTTTCTGTAATTTTTGACATTATTTTTTTATCATTTTTAATCAACTAACCGTCAAAATTAACTTCTATTAATGATGTGAGCAAGATTGCATCGTTTTCAAAAGTTAAAAGGAAATATTATACTAAAAATGAGTTTTAGGCTAGGGACACTATTGGAGCTTTAGTTTAGAAACTAATTTGCAATTTTATCACAAAAAAATTACTAAACAATAATGTTAAAATTATAATATTTAAGCTAAGATGTTAAAAATGAAAAGAAATAGAATATTAACTGTTGGAATATAAATTTGTATTACTCAACTTTAATTAAAAAAGAGAATCAATACAACTTTTACTTAAAGACATTGATATTATTGTAAAATAATATCAAAATTAATAAAAACTAAATTTTATAGTAAAGCGTAGGTTGTTTTCCTAAAAGTTAATTAATTAATTATTTAAATTAGAATTATAAAAAGCTAAATAGTGAGTAATTTTTTATGACAAAATTAATTTTTTTAAAAAATTAAATTAGAATTAAATAAATAAAGCAAGTTCAACTAAAAAAATTATCAAATACAAGTAGTACAATCAATTACAACTTAGTTACTTAAATTTAATTTTCTTCATCCACAAAATAAATTAATTTTACTTAACTTTATTATGTTGATTTTATTATGTATTTTCCAAATTATCATTTAAGAATTAAATAATAAATTAAGTTATAAATTAATTGAAATCTCACTTAGCCTACAACCCAACAATTATTTTAAGTTAGTTACACCAGAAATAAAGTATGAGTACTTATTCAAGGCAGGTCGAATTATTTTTATGATACTATATCAATCGATTATAGTAAGTAAAATCTTAAATAAAATTTATAACTTAAAAATTATACAATAAAACTACTTTAATCAGTAATAGTAATTAAAGCATAAAATTTAGAGGTGGAGAGAAGAAGAACATATTGAAATAATATTAAAATAAAATATTTCTTAAATATTAAAAATTTTAATTATAATTTAAGATATGGCTTGTGGATAATCACATCGAAGAAATTAACTCTTCATAAATCAAAGCAACAGGTGAAAACGTGAGGAGAAGAAGCCATCAAAAATTATTGAACAGAAAAAGACAAAGATTGATCGCCATCGTACGCGACTTCCCGTGCGTACCGCTGCCATTCACTCCCTGTTTTTTATTCCTCCTCTCAAATAAAAAGTCGTGCGTCACATGTGCTGCCCGCTTTGTTAAATAAACCTAATAAATTAATAAAACTGATAAAACTATCCTTAATAACCCTAATTAAAAACTATATTAAAAAATCCAAAATAAATAAAAATAAGGTTTTTAAGATATGATTCTTGACTTAATCTTTAATCATGTCCATATTCTTCTATCCAAAATGATCTTTGTTAATATCTTTCACATTATATTCAGAAAATCTGTACAAATAAAATAAAAAATATGTAAAAATATTAATGATATCATTTATATTTTAAAATCCAAGATTTAATTAGTTAAAATTTTAAAATTGAAGATTGGTTAATAAAATTAAATAATATCTAATTAAACTCAATTAACCTTAAATAAATATTCAAAAGTCTAAATTTAAAAGATAAAAATATATAAAATTGTCATTTACCAGACATTATTTGATTTATTAGAAGGGCTTTGATGGAATGACAATAGGAATGGAAAATGATCACAAAAAAGTCTTTAGCATGATAAATATTTGTCGGCAAAAATGTCTGATAAAATTATTTAAACAGAATGCTTATCTTTATCTTGGTTTGGTGTGTAAGATATGGGAACAGGAAACAAGCCTATAATTTTACACAGACAAAAAACTGAAAAAGTTCAAGCAAAATGGAAAGAAAGAAAGAAAATGATCACCTACACGTCAAGTGTTTGAATCAACGTTGAAAGAAAGAAAGAAGGGAAATTTTAATTTCTCAGCAATGACTAAATTTAGGAAATTTTTTTATTTGAGAACCCTTAATAATAAATACATGTAATTTTACCTGTAAATTCTACTGTTTGATGATGTAAATATGATATACAAATATCATTCGATTTGTAAATTCATGTTACTTTTTTTTTTGAACGAAAATAAATTTATGTTACTTTAATGATAATAAATTTGTGCTATGCTGCAAATTGTCAAAATTAACTACAGGAGAGATGGCCTATTTTAATAGGGTTCATTCTCCTTTATTTTTAGAGAGAATTTTAATTAAAGATTACAGTAAAAACTTAATTGCTGATGGGTTTAAAAAATTTTTAAAATATTAGTTCAATTCATGAAAAAAAAAGTTAAAAAAATTTTAATAATGAAAAGATCAAAATACCCTTAACTTATTATGTAAAGTCACTATTTTTTAATTTTTTTTACTCTACTTGTTAATTTACGAATATGAATTATAAATTATGTGAATTGACATGTCAATAATTATATAAAACTTAACATAAGTTATTCAATCATAAATAGTAATATCAATTGTTAAATTGCTAACTTTATTTATTAATTTACTGATATCAATTATAAATTACTAACAGGTCTTATAATTTACTAACATCAATTGTAAATTATTGACAAGTCTTATAATTTATATCTGATGTTAGTAAATTAACAAATAACAACTAATGTTATTGATTATTTGACAAATGGATGTAGTAATTTATAAGTGATATTGGTAAATTAACAAGTATAATAAGAAAATTAACAATTAATAATTTTGTATAACAAATTAAAGATATTTTGATCTTTTTATAGTTGGAATTCTTAACTAAAATTTCAGAATTTTTTTTGGACCTATAAGTAATTAAGTTTTTATAGTGGTCCTTAACTGAAATTCTCCCTTATTTTTATTTGCCAACTCCTTGGCCGAAAAAGCTTTAAATGGCCCCAGATTACGGTCTCAATTATCAGCCAAGCTGCTTCGGCGAAGAAGATCGCACGTTCTCATATTCTTTTCCAGGAAATGGAGTCGCAAGATCCGACCATGTTGGGAATTACTGAAGAACAGGGGGAAATTCATCAACAACCTCCCCTCATGAGCGGTCAAGTAAGATTGCTACTGTTTGATACCTATATATGCATGGTACTATAGATTTTTTTAGCATTTCATTTAATTTTTAGTAGTTATGAATCGAAAATATTTGTGAAATTATGATAAATCAATGTTTTCTATGGGCTTGGCCTCTAATTCCTCATTTTATAATGTTACAATCTCTCAATTGTTTTTCTTGTTTCTTTCGACTTTTAGGTTCTATCTAAGATGCATGAGAGATATTTTGATATCTTATAACGATAAAATAGTGCAGTTTTGTATTTTTTTTTCCAAAAAAGGAAACTACCCTCAAATCATCTAGTTTTGATTCATCAATTTTCTTTAATCAATGATCAAAAGAAAAGAAAACAAATTAAAAGGTTGAGATATAAGAAACATTAGAAGCAGGGTGGGGTATTAGAGGGCTCATGCCCACTATGGAATGAGAAAAGTATAGCATCAGTAATAAAGTGTGCTGTTGCTTTGTTTCTTGGTTTAGATCTCATCTGAAACGTATGTTCTTCATTCTCTCACTACAAAAAAAGAAGTGTATTAGTCAAGAAATTAGCTCAGTGTGTTAGCAATCTCATGAATCTTTACCTTGTTGCTAGCTAGTTGATTTCAAAGGGATCTTAAATTTTGAATTAAGAAATTAATATATGATACTTACCTATATACAAATATCAATAAATATATTATTTAAATATACACATTTATTTAACATTATTTTTATTTATTAATATGATAAATTAATTTATTTATGTATATATTTACATTATAATTTTAAAAAAAATTATTATAAGGAGTTTAATATCAAAATGAAAAAATATTTTGGTACAAGCAAGGATTATTCTTAACTGTTATAGTATATTCATAATTTATATTCATATAATATATAATGTATTATATTTTTAAGTATCAATGATTAAGTATAAAATCTAAATTATTATTAGTATATTAATAATTTAAAATAATACATTATAATTATAAAATTAGTGATTTATAGTATAATAATAAGTTATAATATAAACTATGTAACGTATAACATACAAAAAAATTAATTATTTAGTCCTTATAGTTTTAACCCAATTGTAACTTAATCTCTCAACTTTGACTTGTTATAATTCAGTCCTTAAAGTTTTGACTATATTATAAATTAATCCCTGAACTTTACTTCTTGTAATTTAGTCCATGAAGTTTTAACTTCTTAAATATCGATCTCTATATTTTAAAAAATAAAATTATAAAAATTAAAAATATTTTAAACTTTTAATATTTATAATGTTTATAAAGACTAAAAGGGTTTAATAATTTAAAATATTATTAATAAATTTTAAAATATTTTTAATGTTTATAATTTTATTTTTTAAAATATAGGGATCAATATTTAAGAGGTTAAAACTTTAGGAAATAAATTACAAGAGGTAAAGTTCATGAACTGATTTACAATTGAGTTAAAATTTTAGAAACTGAGTTATAATAATTCAAAGTTCAGAAATTAACTTACAATTAAGTTAAAATTATAAGGAATAAATGATTAATTTTTTTATAATATAATATAATATAATTTAAAATAACTCATGGCAAAATTAGCCATGGAATAATGATGGAAAGATTTGCAACGGACTTTTCCATCACAAATTCTGCCATAACCGAAATAAGGTATCTTGGAAACTAAAGGTGGACTTTTCTATTGTAATTAAATTATTTCTTTCATATTAGTGACAGAATTTGTTGTGATGGCTTTTTCCGTCACTAAAATTGTGACAGAATTTCCGATACATAAGCAGCGTATTAGCAACGATTCAATTTCTGTCAGCTAAGTTTCGTCACTATAAATTAGAGCTCGTAAGATGGGTCTCACAGGTTAGCCTGCAGCAGGTTGGCCAACCCGCAAGTGAAAAAAATAGTTTTTTTTAAAATTCTTAAAAATTTTTAAAATTATAATTTTACCTCTTTCTATTATTTTTTTACAGTAAAAAAATCATAAATATCTCCTAAAAATTAATTATTCAAATAACAATAAAAGTCTTTCTAATTAAGACATGCTAATATCACCACTTAAATATACACTAATTTAATTTTATGATCCTTTCGTTCTTTAGTCTTTTACATGACTGATTAGTATTATACATATATGAAATAATAAAAATGCTCTGTCTATCTCCTCTTTTCTTCATTTTGTTTTGGCATTTTTGCTACAAAATTGATACCCCAATTTAAAACACCAATTCTTTTTTTAAAGAAAATAATGATGATTTAAACTCTGACTATTAGATCACTACTCATAATACATTCAGTTCATACCACCTAAACATTCTAGTACCTTTGTATCTGTTTTTTTCTTTTATCTTCAAATTAAGATGATAATATAATATATGATTAGCACTTCATATATATGTTTAATTTTATAAATAAAAAGGGCAGCTAAACTTTTTTCATTTGCTAGCTTGGGTAGCAATATTTTGCAAACAAGATAATTTAAATAAGCTATTATATGAATGAACCAGAGTATAATAAAATATTTTATTTAATTTTATCTTGATCACATTCAGATTATATTATGTCACTATTTAAATATACAAGCAGTGCGTTTTTATTGATTTCTGCCATAATTTAAACTTAAATTAAATAAATGTAAGAGTATCAAGTAGTTAGATTGCAATTTCATGCACACTTGCTTTGAATGCTTTATTTTAAACTCAATATTATTTATTTATTTTTTATCTTTTTTTAAAAAACTATAAGCCTCATAACCCAGGGCCTACCAACTCGCGAGTTAGCTCTCTGCGGGTTCAAGTTATGCGGGGTGAGCCAAAACCGCTTTATATATAATTGAATCTATTTTGTTTAACCCAACTGCAACTTTTTTGTGGGTTGGCGGGTTGGGCCAATGGGCTCAACGCACCCATACTAATGGCTCTAGTCACTAATTACAATTTTGTTTAGTGTGCTATTTTACTTATTTAAGTGCTAATTCCTTTTCCAAATCAAAATATAGTTGGACATTTTGATGGAGGAAATGGGAAAAGTGATTCACCGAAGCGATGAACAGGGTGGCTTGTTACCTGAATGTTGTATCTATAAGGTGCCTCGTACGATCCGTGATCAACATGGAAGCGCTTTTACCCCAAAATTTATTTCAATTGGTCCCTTTCATTACGGTGATAAGAGACTGCAAGATATGGAAATTCACAAAGAAATCTTCTTTACAAGATTTTCCCGTAAATCTAAGAAAAGCTTGAGTGATTTGATTAGTTATTCCATAACTTCGGTGCAAAAAGTTCGTGATTCTTACTCACAGTTCATCAACTTTAGTGACAACGAACTTGTGAAGCTGATACTACAGGATGCCGCTTTTATTATTGAACTCTTTAGTGGGTTCTATGACAGGAAAGAAATGTTATTATACGATGGTAAACTGTCACAACTATGGTTGAAGGAAAATATTCCTCAGGATTTGCTTTTATTGGAGAATCAGCTTCCTTTCTTTTTCATTAACGATTTATACAACACAGCGTTCCCCCCCGACCTTCGTCGTCCTGTCCTCGACCCTTCATTTGATGAGCTCACGTATTTCTACTTTGGCCTTTATAACATCCAAAATTTGACGCCTGATCCTCCTGTGAGAATAGCACACTTCACAGATCTTCTTAGGATTTTCCACTTACCAAAACAGAATCCTCAAAGGGTATCATTCCATCCAGCTAGCGATCTTCTTTTATATAGTGCGCACCAGTTGCAAGATGCAGGAGTAAAATTGAAGGCTGGCACAAGCAAGTGCATATTAGACTTGAAGCTTTCAAGGAATAATGTTCTTGAGGTTCCAGAGATTACGGTAGACAAGGGGACTGAAATTTTGTTTCTCAATATGATTGCTTTAGAACATTTCCATTATCCTAATGAAGCTTACATTACTGACTACTTCCGTTTGTTGGATTGCCTAATTGATTCAGATAGAGATGTGGATGTTTTGATTCATCAGAAAATAATCCGCAGCCATCTTGGAGATAGCAAGAGTGTTGTTGAATTATTTAATAGCGTGCGGAAAAATACTGTTCCGATGACTTTCAGTTCAGAATATTTGGATCTCTGCAGAAGGTTGAATGAATTTTATAAAGATCCTTGGCGCAGCAGAAAAGCAGCTTTGATAAGGGTGTATTGGAGGACACCATTGCAAGCTAAGGCCTCAAGTATTATCGTCATCATACTCCTCATTCTCATAATTATTCGGATGCCTTGACTTGTTGTTGCCCAGTCCTTAAAGTTTGATGTTATCTCCATCCATCCTCACTTTTCCATAAACCGCTTCAGGTCTGAACAAATTCTCAAACATGGCCCCAAAGGCGTTTAAGCATATCCTTAGATGTTGTCATCTTTATTAGCTTCATAAGTAGATTTTTGAAATATGCAATCTGTTAGTGGAATTTCTTCGTCAATGTGATTATGAAGTAGTATTTTTCCTTTGCTGAGAGAAATTTTTTTAAATCATTATCCCAGAAAAGGCCAAAGTAAGGTGGGACCATATATTATAAGCAACTTTATTTAGCGGTTAATAACTCTCAAGTAAAAGAAGTTTTATTAGACAATTATCTAGTGATAACTGTCAATTATTTTTTCCCAAGTATGACCTTTGGTTCGTTCTGTAAGCAAATATTTGATAGATATTTTAAAATAATTATCAAGTACTGCCAAATACTTGATTACCAGATAACGGTCAAGTATTTACTTGACGGTTGTTCCAAAATTTTTAAAATAATCATCAAGTATGTGTATATTTGATGATTATTATAAAATAAGTATTAAGCATTTAAAGGTTTTTTTTTTTTTTAGAAGATGAGAGCTGCTTTTAAAGTAGCCTTGTCCCTACAAATTTGGCAAAATACAATAGCAATACAACCCAGAATCAGCACAACAACAATAATATACTTCATTTTATTAAAATTCCTGTACAATTCAGTCCAAAACCTATACAGTACCTAGACAATCTAGAATCTTAGCTAATTCTAAAATAAAATTCCTAAGCTAAAGTGGCTTAAGGCATCAAAATTGGCCAATAAAGTTAAGTAAGTCTAAACACCTAAACTTGGTGGAGGCCACCTTAGTGACTGACACTATCCACATATTGTATACAGCCATAGCCACCTCTTCAAGGACTTTTTCTATATGTGTAGCTGCATACCTTATGCAAAAGATGTCTTCGAACGTATTGTATGTAAAGAGCTACAACAAAATTAAATTATATATTAGTTAACTAAAGTTGGTTGTAATTTATAATTTATTTTAATTAAGTTTAAGTGTGAGTGCGTTGGTTTAAGTTGCTTTGGAATCCATAAAACTCTGGAAATTTTATATAATAAAGTAGACATTATAAGCTTTAAACCAAGTCCGAGATCACCTCAATTGGTTCAGTAAAACTCAAGTTATGATTTTTCACATTAAAGCTACGAATCGGGGAACCGGAAATGGCCAGAACAGAGTGTTGGTAAGTTTTTTAGTGTTATGTTTTATTGGGCTGAAAAAAGTATCTTATAAATATTTTTATGACAAATTGCACTTCTTTATCTTTCAAACAAGCCAAGGTGTGCTCAAAAATTATTTTTATATAATTATTGGTGAATTTCCAAAGTTATCATTTAATTATGGATAAGAAATACAGCCCAGCTGAAGGGTTTAGCTTGTATTAACAAGTTTGATAAATTGTTTTTTAATAAAGGATTCAATTTGCCTTTGTGAAGCCCAAGTATGTAATTTTTAAAGTGTAAAACTCCAGATATAGATTTTCCAAATTCAGCCTTATTTAATGTTTTTTTGAAAAGCCCATTTAGTACATCTGTTTCAAATCTGAGTTTTGAGCTCAGTTTATCAGTCCAATATTCAAGGCAGTGGTTTCTAGTCTTAAAGGACCTTTCAACCTTTAATCCAAGATAAGTTTTACCCTCACAGGATTTTTGATGAATTAAGTATGATTTTTTCAATGTTGACCCACATTCTTGAAAGAATTTTAGAACTAGTGTCTTGCATAAAAGTGTATCAAGAGCAAGCTAATCCAAGGACTTAGATGTTGTTTCCATAACCTAGGTATACTATATAAGGTCATATAGTAAGTTGTGTTAGTCTAACTAAAGTGGATACTGTAAAAAAGAAAGGCCAATGAAATGGTATAAGAATTGACAGTTACTAGATTAAAAATTTGGTCAATTTTAAATGAATACATTTACTGTGGTCCATGTGTGTAGAGAGTTGAATGCCTTCACACTGAAGATGGTCTTATTTGTCTCAATGTGATACAACACACAACCCTAACAAGGAAGCAATACAACATAATGGGTTATAGAGGACGATTGATAATCATCCTCCATTGAAGGAACACATGTAAGATAGTTATAGAACTATCCCATATAGGTGCAAATATTGGATGGTTATGAACAAACCATCCTATATGAGGTTTCAAATTTAACCAAATTCGGAACCTTTGATGCCATAGAGGATAGCTATGGCCACAACCGTCCTTTATGGCCTCGTGGAGGTTTCTAGTAGCCCTCTACAATAGAAACACAAATATATATATATATATATATATATATATATCATGTAACAAATTAGAACCAAAACTATACTGCTCATAATTCAAAACAACACTATTCACAATTCAAAATCATCAAAAAACTTCTATACATATCTACACAATTTAAAACTAATCATTTTAAACCCTTTAAAATTGAACTAAACTTATAGTTCTTAAAACAAAACTATTCACAATTCAAAATCATCAAAAAACTTCTATACATATCTACATAATTTAAAACTAATCATTTTAAACCCTTTAAAATTGAACTAAACTTATAGTTCTTAAAAAAAATCCAAACTATTGACAATTGAATTAAATTATTCCTAAACTAACTTACTATATATCATTGCTTTGCATTGCTTGTCACATACTTGTCATATGCACATTCACTCCACTCTTTAAGGACTGTATTAATGTGTGGATCCTTAAAATGAGCTATAACATAGTTTGGATAGTACTGCAACATATACGACAACAAAGTTAGTTAATGACAATTAAAATTCATTATAACATGAAAATTAATTTATACTAAATGACATATACCATAGGGGATTGTAGGTTGCCTATGAGTGATGATGTCTTTAGCATATCTTATCACACAATAGCCACAATCATGGCTATTATTGAGTTGTTGGAAGCATTACATGAAGAAAATGATAAATATATGTTGTTGATATAAAAAAAATAGAAAAATTAATGACAAATATGCTTGTATTACATTCCATTCAATGGCATCCTTGTATTCCTTGAATGATCTCTTATGGGGAAGTTTTTCTTTGATGTGATATAGCACTATGGCCCCAAGGAAGACAAATTTAGAGGTAGAATTTTGGAAATAAATAAAACCTTAGTTACTAAATGTACTTACATATTGAATAGTTCTATCATATTTGGTCGGTTTGTTGGATCCTTACCATAAGGAGCAAAATCCAAATAGTATGCCTTTATAGCTTTAGGATTTTTTAGCTCAATCATGATACGCATCCAGTGTTCCCTAAGAGAATTGGACAATGCATGTTACAATTGAAAATTCAAAAAGACAATAAATAGCATAAATTTTATTTGAAAACCAAGTAACTAACCTATTAAGATGAGGAATAAAAAACAAAATCCCCTTTGAAGCTGGTCTTTCTTTAAAGTATGTAAACAGTGCTTGAGCTTATTGTTGTATACGCTGATCCTTTTGGTCGCCTTCATAACTTGGGATCTTGTGAGGGCTGATGAACATGAACCTTTATCCTAGGTTACTAGGGATGATGAAGGTTTCGTACAGGTACGTAAATAAAGAAATTAACAAAAGTAAATATGAATATATAAATGTGAGTAAGAAGTATAATTAAATACCTCATATAAAGATTGACTGGGTTGTAGAAGGCCTCATCGCATGTCAGGATGGCATTGACATTATCAAAGTCAATGATCTCGCCAAACTCTTTTCGATACATATTGTCCTTTAATAGTGCGAACTACACCATCATATTCCTAGTCAATCATACATATTTTGTTAGCATGTTTTGATTTGTCTTAGGAAATGGAGGAGGAACATTCACTAGCACTAGCCTAGAGGTTGGTTGTTCTTGTCTTGGATAGCTAACTTGATTGTCTAGGGGGTCATTTCACTTGGAATAGGCACCGACTAACGTTAATTATTAGAATTTGAAATTAAATTGACTATAATTTAAATTTAAATTGAGATAATGTTAATTAATAGCATATTTGTAGTAGAGTTCCATCTGTGCCTCCTGACCAAACGAGATGCTTAGGCTACACAATATAAGAGCTAACAACGTTTGCTATAATTTTTAACTAGAAGTTTGGTTTGGTTTGAGTAGCATGTACTGGGCATTATTGGGCTTAATAAGCAGTCCTTTCACCCATCCTTATCAAAATATAGGGAACAATTTTTCTTAATTATTAAATTGAATCATTCATTAAACTTTTGAAATATGAGGACCAAAAAGGCAAATTTAGTTAGCGAAAAGGACTTAAAGAATGGGAGCCTTGATCCTTTGTTTAGATGAGAGAAAAAATAGAGAAAAAGAAAAACTATGAAAAAAAAACTCTTAAAAATAGGGAAAAAAATCTTACCATAAATTTTTGAAAATTTATTTTCCTAATTTTCTCTCCTTCCTTCTTATTTTATTTTCATTTTCTCTCTATTCAAATAAAGCATAAAGATGCCATGTAGAATATAGAAAATCACTTAAGAGATTCCTGAAACTCGTTTGAAGTTTTTAAAAATCTACCATGAATCTTCACTATAATTATAAAGTATCAACACCCTAAAGAATGTAAGTGGCCCAAACGAAATAGACAATATACAAATGCAGGGGACCACCAATATACCTTGCGGAAGTTTATATAAACAATTCGAAATTTAATTAATATAAAAAAAATTCAGCAAACCAATATCATGTGATCAAGATAAATGTAACCATTTCACAATTAAGCAAAAGCTTCTTATGGTGGGCCACAATACACGTGTACAATGTTTACACGTTTATCTTTCAAAAACAAACACACCAACCAATAAGCCTTTAGTTCAAATAGCGAAGAAGTTACTCTCTCCGGCGCAAAATATAAAGCATTGATAATTAATTTATAATTTTTAAAAAATATTAGTTGAAGTCTTTATTTTTTTTAAAAAAATATACATCTTTTCAATTTTATCTTCATTAAATATTCTATATAAATGCTTTGATAATGATAATTAAAATTTCAATACATTATTTTTTAAAAGGAGTAATAAATAAAGTAAGAGTATAGTTTTAAAAAATATTACAAAAGTTATTTAATGCCTTATATTTTAAACTAAGTAAGGCTTCTAGAAGATGCCCTATATTTTGATCCGGGGGTAGTATATACTATTTTAACAAGAGGTCTTGAATTCCAGTGAGAACATAATAGTATATATGCT